ACAGCTTCTTTGGGGGAGTCTGGAATAATTAATTATCTCTCCCCTCCATCTTTCTCAATGTGTTTAATTTGAACTTTGGTAATGAAAACTCATCTCTCATAAATTCTGGGCTGGTCCATTTTGTATGTGCCTGCTGTGTCCTGCTTTGAGTGATGTGTAAGTAAGAGGCAATCCAGTGATGAGTTTTGCTTGTGTGGTGCATAGGGTGGAGAGGGAGGAGGGTTTGATGAATAGAGGCAACCAGAAAGTGTACTTGATAATAACATGGCTATGATTGATGTTGCAATTCCTGAAAAATTATCATTGTGATATAATTATTTGTTTATGAACTGTGCCCTGAGACTCCCAAGTTTGAGATTATTCATAGCACAGATAAAACTCTAAAGTCAATAATTCATCAAGAATATAATGGCTTTGTTTGGGGACAGTAGGGGGGTCACATGAATGTTGCATCCTGTTTCTGACACTTCACTATAAATCTGAGCATTCCGTCAGTACAAGGAGGAGACACCTCCTTACTTTCTGCTCTTTTTTCCCCTCTTAGTTTTCATCATTTGTATATATTATTTTAAAAACCAAAATTGATTTCCTTTTTTTTCCCAGAAAAATTCTTTCAACATTACTTGGGTCATTCTTTTTGGTGTTTCATGACTGCAAGAGGAGAGAGGTAAATGGAAGACTAAAAAACAAGTGCACTTTGTTCCCAGCAAAGTATAAGATAACAACTGGAAATTCAGGGACTATGAGTACTAATTTCGGATGTAACCAACATTCTGTGAATATATTTGGACTGGTTTCCTTGATTTTGATCCACAAAAGATTAAGGAGAGCCTACAAATTTTCAGAAAATTGATGAGTTTGGTCTCATAATTCTTACTTTAATTTTTGAGTGGATTTAATATTATATATATGAAGACTCTTGGTGCTTCTAATCCCATAAAGTGGCTACTTATGGTGGTTTATCTCTAATTGTTTCCATTTCCTTCTTATTGTCAGCTTTTCTCTGCCTCCATTTACTTACAAGGGAGTAGCCTAATGGCATGTTTGTTATGGATGTATAATGTGCCTTAGCCCAGCACTACATAAATATTGGGGCTAGGTCTTTTCCTTTCTAGCAGAGTTGTGTACAGTACAATGAAAATGGCTGAGTGGTCCCAGAGGAACAAGCTCTTGCTTACTTTCCATGCCCTGTAAACAAATTCCCTTAGATTACTTTTTACCTAACTATTGGCCAGCATTATATAAAGGCGATATGCATAAAGAAGAGTGGAAGTCTATCTTAAAAATAGTTTGTGGAAAGACCTATGACTGGTGGTGAGCCTATGGCATGTGTATAGCAGCAGGCTGTTTCATCATTGGTTTGTCATCACTGTCTTAGGAGCTCTGGTTGACCAGAGCTTAAAATGAGAGGATGATGTGGCTTATCTGCTAGGGAATGAGTGCCATCACAGGCAGTTTTAATAAGAGCTCAGAGTCTTGAATAAGAGACAGCATAGGACTTCGCTAACATGTAGGCACCAGATTCCATCTGCAGCTATGTGATTTGCACAAGGCCACATTTTAATAGGGGCTTCTATGAGCTGAATTGTGTCCCTCCAAATGTGGAGCTCTCAATCTCCATTACTTCTGCATGTATAGAAGTAATGCATCATTAGTAAAGATGAGGTCATAATGGAGTACCTTGGGGCTTTAATATGAGAGGAGTGGTGATGGTGGTGGTGGGGGACTCCATGTGGAGATGTAGGGACACACGGGAGAAGATGCACCTTGATTTTACTGGTCTATCCTCTAAAATCATGAGAGAATACATTTATGTTGTTACGCACATCCTAGATTGTGGTATTGGGCAACCTTACACCAAAAGAGGCCTTGACTCTCAGATGAGGATCACTAGGGTATGTAAAGGTTCTGCCATAATGTCATCAGAGGCAGAATAAGTGACATTTAGCCTAGAGAATTATTGAAACTCTGACATCCATAGTCACATCTTTGAAGGCCACTCAGATGGAAAAGAGTTTAGATTTAGTCCACTTATCTCCAGAGGTAAGATTCTAGTTCATAGCTTTATAACTATCCAATAGTGAGCTAGAAAGATCCTCAGCATTAGAATTACTAAGATGTTATTTCTACATGAGAAAGTCCAGCTGAATTGCTAAGATTTCTAATAGACTGTTGTATTTCTACAGCTTGTGTTCATCATTGAGGATAAATTAAGTGGTACTTTCTTTGAAATCTAAATTTTATTTTCTTAGCTGTCTATAAGAAATGATGTCATGGTTAACTAATTTAGTTACCAACTGCTAAGGTTCTCTCTTCTTCCTTCCCCTCCTCCTTTTCCTCTTCTTTTCTCCCCCCCTTCTCTTCCTCTTCCTCTTCTCCCTCTCCCTTTCTCTCCTAAACTCTCATTGCATACACTCAGGATAGTATTGCCAGTACACACACACACACACACACACACACACACACACACACACACCTCCCTCTAACCACCTTCTAACATTTTTGATGAGCAATTTTGTGTCAGCCATATGAACTATTCAAGGGGGCAGGAATGAATGAATTTTCTGCTTTATCCATTTTGACGTTTCTTTCTTGATACAAACTCAAGTTATCCCATCATATCACATGTTGTGTTTTTTTTTCATCACAATCCAGCAGATTTGTACTGAGTCAACACTATTTGTAAATTACTGAGTTTGGCACTTGGGGGTGATGTGAAGATGCATAAGTAATGATTTGTGCCCATGGGGAGTTTATCAGGTCAGACCCTTTCTTTATAAATTTTCTAGGAGACACAAGAGAGAAGGCAGGTGAGGGTGCTCACTTACTTTAATGTACCAGCAAAGTTCCTTAAGCCTGGTAATTGTTATCAGTCTTTGGAAGTCATGCTCTAGACCAAGATTTGTCTTTTTTATAAACTACATGATATGAAGGTTTTCAATGGTATTCTTCCATCTCAAGTCCCTTGTTCTTTCTATACTTTGAACAGGGATAATAACCTTGGCTCAAACAATTATCTGTGCTTGATACTATACATTACCTTCTACTTTTAATGCAATGTATAGGCCAAGTTGATTTTAAATTGCACTAAATGTTTTTCATACAAATAGATGTCCAGAAGAAGGGGAAGATAGGTAAGAATTATAGTCCAAAAGGACTAAAATCATTTTTTTTAGTGCTCCATTGAGGATATATCTTCGTCCTTGTCCTTCCTATTGATTTTACTTCATTCTTTTGTTGTGGTTCACTGCCACATAAACTATAACAGTATCAGCTGGGAGGGAGAAGGGAGTAGATGCAAAGACCTGGCTGCTGATCTTTATTCTGTCCTTCAGCACTCCAGTCTTGACAAGTTGATGCTGCCAGCCTGGCAAGGGAGAGTTTGCCAGACCTGGGGTGGGAGTAGCATCTTGATTATCAATAGGTTTGAGACCAGAACTCATTCTGGCTGAGAGATGTTCTTAAATTTTTTTTTTTTTTTGGTACCGGGGATCAAACTTGGGCCTTTGCCACCTGCGAGGCAGGTGCTGGAACCATTGAGCTAAATCCCCACCTGAGATGTTCTTAATTTTGTTAGTGACCTATTTTAGCATTGATAGGCACACATAAAGGGAAACTTCTTGATGGTAAGAAAAGATTGGGTTTGGTAAGAATCCAAAATTTCCACTACATGGTCTAACTTCTATTTGAATTTAATTTGCCCACCATGCCTGGCTTGCCTATTTCAACCCTCACTGCTAGCACCTGCATATCATGGACTGAAAAAAATGACCACCAACATCTTCCACTTTCATACTCATCCATTACCCCTGTGCCTTGAGTGGACCTTGCTGGACACAAATCCCTGAAAGCCCTCACTAAGAGAAGACCGTGGCTAAGTTGGTTTCCTCACTCACCTGACCATCCACAATCAAGGTTTTTTAATCTTCACTGATTTTTGACTTTGCAATCCTGCTGTACTATAACCTTCTGACTCTCAAGAGCAAAAGGGAGGATACATTGTAGAAAGGGAGTTGGGCAGACTCAATTCTGTGTTCTCAGTCCCCTCTTGGCATTTCCTAATTTTAAGTACTTATTTCAAGGATGTGTGTAGGACACAGAGAAATCTAAGAGCCCACAATCCTAACCACACTTCCATATCAAGAAGTCTAAAGATTTCTTCCATTGACAGCTACCCCCAAACTAGCAAATGTCACTTCAGACTTAGCCTGGAAAGATAATATTTACTATTGTTAGTAGCTTTGGGAAAGATGTATTTGTTTCTTTTATCCAGCCCAGTCAGTTCATATCTCTTCATTATTTTTGGAGAACACAAACTAAACAAAGATGACCCCCTCCTTATCCTTAACTTTGATATAAGAGCTGGCACTTAAATAGTTACCAGATAACTTGCCTTACAATGTGACAGGCTGCATGCTCACCTGACCATAACATGGTTCAACTGTGGCTTACTAAGCCTGTCAGGAGAAAGAAGATACATATTTAATATAAAAAGAAGATGTAAACAATAGAACAATTAGTTATACATTATAGATTACAATAAATGAAAATACTGAGTGCATTTTAAATGATTAATGTATGAAAACAGCCATCACTTACTGTGCATTAATCAAGAAAAAATGCACACTTCCCATAGTGGTTAAGGTTGCAGGCCTACAGTTCAGCCTTGAGAATGTGCATAATAATGCTCAGTATGACAATGAGTTTGGGTAGCTGAAAATTTAGGATGGTTGCAAGTTTCGTGTAGTATTTGGATTAGCATTTTAATCTGTGCCTTGTCAGCCTCATCAATATACAGCTATATATTTTTTTCCAAAACTAGCAAAAACATAGATGCAGTTTTTTAAAAAACTTTTTTCCTTTTTTTTAAAACAATAACAAATAATGACCAAGGTACCTGCTTAAACAAATACTACCAGCTTTCATCAGTTAGGATGGTTACATGTAAAAGAAATGATGCCAGATAGTAACAAATCCAAGAGAAGTTTATTATGAAAATGGCACCTGCGGATGAAAAAATTAAGTTACATAAAGACAACCATGTATGTGACATGTATGAGAATCTACAAAAGTATAAAAAGAACCCTGTTGTAAATGAAGTATGTACATTTCTGATTTGCAGCATTATCAATGGTCAATGAAAAAAATGTTTCAAAATAAGCCAGGCACTCAGGAAAGTTAGGTCCGGTTAGCTTCACACAAAACAAATGTACCATAGCTGTCGCTTTGTAACGTTTTAATTATTTTTTTATATATATATCGTAGAGTTGGTAACACTGCTAAGATTTTTACGAACAGAATATCCCTTTCCCCATTATTCAGCTACTTGGCACCAGTCTCCTCATAAAAGTTTTCATATATTTGTACAAGAAATAGTTAAAAACACAGACACAGTCTTCACAGGTAATGAAGTGTTTTTTTTTTTTCATTTTGTAATTTTAAACACTATGGATTTAGACAGCAGCTGTGATTATCTGTTAGTTTAAATCACCAGAAATCATTTTGACACAACACAGAAACATTTATAAAAGAAAAAAAAAACAGCTGTCTAGCTGTTCTTGGTAGCTGATAGGTGCATTCCTTTGATTGTTCGATAGCTAGAGCAGAGCTTCCAAAATTAATCTTTAAATTTCTTGATCAAACTTCTATACCTTCTAAACCTACTTAAATCCTTCAAGTAAGCTCGCTACTAAAATGTGTGGCATTTAACTTCCTTCTGTTATTACTTCAACATGGCTTGGGCCCAACTCACAGAATCAAAGGTTTTAGAGGAATCCACTCACACAGTGATATTCAAAGGACAGCCGAGTTACTATATTAGCATTGCACAAATAAACAAATATATATGACAATTATATATTCCATTACCCCCTCCCACTTTGTTTTTTTTAAAAACATTGGTTGACCTTTGAAATAATTTTCTGTCTCACTGGTAATTGCTTTATATATTGCTCCATCAGCCAACCTGAAAGGAAACCAAAGAAAAGCACCCACTGCTTATAGGTAGAGCACAAGGGACTCTGGGAATGTCAACAACTGAGGCTGTATGGCATCGGTTTATTTAGTATATCTGAGCGTTATTCTTCAGTGCTTTGTCTTGCACTCCAGAAAGGAGAGTCATACCCAGAAATCCATTGTGGAAAAAAATGGCTCCATTCACCTTGAGCTAGTTAAGAGTCTTTTTATCTCTGAGAATGAAAAAGATTTTGGATACAGGAGAAGGAAAGTAGAAAAGGGAAGAAGGTAGGACAGGACAGGGAGGGAAAGAAAGGAGAGGTAGGGAGAATATACACCAGCAAAGCAACGGCAGGAATTAAAAAAAGTAAAACGGAGAATTCCACAGACAGTAGAAGCAGTATAGGGTGACATTACAGAGGAAGGCCACCACACAAAAACCACTAACCCCCAAGAATCACTGATTCACTAGGACTGCAGGAATGGGACTGTACCACTCCGGACTAGAGATAGAGCACAGAGAAGACAAAGGACAAAACTACATTAGCTTAGTATATACTGCATATAGAAACACACATTGAAACTGCATGGGACTGACAGCCAAAGACACATACACATCGTACACATTACAGTTTTCACACCTGTTATTAGATGCCTTAACAAACAGCTGCCAAAAATGAAGTGGAGGAAGAATTTATATTTGACAGTCATTTGGAGTGTTTGACACCACACTGATTTCTGGCAACGAAGACAAAATAGGATAGTTTTTCTTTTCATTTTCTTTTTTTTCCTTTTTTCACTTAATGTGCAGTTTTCATTTGCAGTTATCTGTCTGAAGTTTATTAACCCATTCTTTAGTTTTAAAACTTATTGGTTTCAATCCAGAACTAAGTAAAGGGAAATAAATTCTACCAAACCAGTTCCCCAAAATACAACCTTCCTTTTTTTCTTTAAGCAAGACATGAAACAAAACAAAACAAAAAACATGTTAAATATTTTCCTTCTTTTACTCCAAAGTGTTACTGAAGTTGCAAAATTAGCCTCAGTTAGACTGAGTAAGGAAAACAACAACAACAAAAAAAAACAAAAACTAAACGAAAGACAGTATGTACCTAAACTGCTCCTCAAATCAACTTGATTGAGTTTTCCAAAAGCCCCTTTTTAAGAGGGCTTTACTGACCCATTAAATTTAATGTGAGGCTATATTTGTTAGTTGGGAGGTAAAATATTTTAAGTCCTGCAGCAAATGTTAATGAGGGCTTTGTCTTAACTAACCAAGGAGACTGCAGCAATGGACTCCAGGCCAGGACAGAACACATTTTTTTTTTTTTTTCCAAAACCCAGCCCAGGAGCTGCATTTTGTATGAAGACATTACAGATTAATAAATGATAGCACCATGGTTTTAGAAATTAAGTTAATGTTTCAGTAATTAACATTTAGTACAACTTAAAAAAACACATTCTAGTCACAGGCCAGAAATTAAGAACCCAAATTATTTTTATGTGCAAGTAAGAAAATCTTAAAATCTTAACCATAAAAAGAGAATTAAATTCTGCATAAAATTCTAAAACACTATTCCCCTATTTTTAAAGGAATTAGGAACAGAAACAAACAAACGAAAGAACCACCCCATATCATTTGACTTAGTCAAACAGGGCACATTGTTTACGCTTGTCTCTTTCCATCTTGATCAGATCAAGATCTTAATGAAGAAAACCAAGGGTTGTCACTTGAGAAATCTCTTGACCACAAGACTGAGTATTGTATGGCAGAGGCATATACACATTAAAGACATCTTAATAAAGATGCAAAGGAAAGCAAAACAACCCAAGACACATCTTAGAAGAAGACAAAACGGCAGGCAACTGGTCATTTGACCCTCTGAAGGCAAAAAATAAACATTTTTACATGGAAAGAATAAGTCATGTTAAAGAAAGAAGGGATGGAATGGGGACCGTTGTGTTGAGAGAAGACGCTGACCTGCTCGAATTCAAAGTGCTAGAATTAAAGGTCTAAAACGAAAACGCCGAGGATGCCTCCGAGCAGAACCCTGCGCGCGCCAGGGGCGCCTGCCTCAGTCCTCCTTGCGCTCCAGAGTCTGTGCCGCGTGGATGCCGTTGCTGTAGACCGGGAAGGGCAGCGTGGAGAAGAGTCCCTCGGCCGTGGTGAACACGTTGCCCGCGGGCATCTGCGTGAGGCTGGCCGCGCTCACCGCGCCGCCGAAAGGTCCTGACATGTTGAGCCTGTGCACGTGGTGGTAGAGCATCTCCATGGGCGTCTTGGGGTCGAGGCCGAAGCCGGGGCTGTTAACGTCCACGAAGTTAACAGCGTGCGCATTGGGTAGCAGGTTGCCCTGCATGGCCAGGGTCACCTCGGCTGGCGCGTAGCGGATGGTGCCCGTGGTGTAGACCCTCTGCGCGGCTGTGCTGGTGGCGGCCAGGGTGCCGGTCACCCGGTGCACCAGAGGGAGGAC